AAAGGATACGTTGCCAAGGAGCTGTAGCCCCTCCATGGCTCCCTCAGCTCCCCCCACCAGCCCCTCGGGGTGGCTCTCACAGGAGAGGGGACAGCCCAGGACCTCCAGGCGCAGGCAAAGGCTGCCGTTCCAGCGCTGCGGGTAGATGCGGATGTAACGGGCGACCACAGGCTCAGGGAATTCAGTCAGCACCGGTGTGTCCTTGTCCACATTGCCATAAAACATCTGCCAAGGACAGGCTGGTGAGATGTACCAAGTGAGGAGGGAGAAGGTCCCTACTGTCCCCTCCGCCCCACCCGTCTCGGGGTCCCCACCATCTCCTCATAGCCGTTGCTGTACATCACCCAGTTCTGGCTGTCGTTGCTGAAGCCCACGTAGAAGCTGGTGACAAAGTCTTCGCTGGTGGAGGAAAGGGGACAGGTTGTGGGGGTGGATGTCCCCGAGCTTGCTCCCCACTCCATGTCCCCAAATCTGTTACCGTACTGGATCTGGGAGTCACGACCCTGGGTGATGACCCCGGTGAACTTGGTGGTGCGGCGGGTGTCGCCCTCCAGCCAGTGCGTCCGCCCGTCGTCCTCTGCGCACCAGGCCCCGTCGTAGAAATCATCCTCATTGGTGCCTGCCTGGCGAGGGGACAGGGGTGGGGGTATGAGTGGGTGAGGCTGCACCTCCAGCACCATGTGCAGGTATGGGCACCACAGTGTGGGAGGGATGTGGAGGTGCTGGAGAGGGTGCAGAGAAGGGCACCAAGGCTGATAAGGGGTCTGGAGTACAGGTCTGATGAGAAGCTGAGGGAGCTGGGGCTGTTCAGCCTGGAGAAGAGGAGGCTGAGGGGAGACCTCATTGCCCTCTACGGCTCCCTGGAAGGAGGCTGTGGTAAGATGGCCTCTTCTCCCTAGTGACCAGCGATGGGACAAGAGGAAATGGAGTCAAGTTGCTCCAGGGGAGATTCAGGTTGGATATTAGGGACTATTTCTTCTCTGGAAGAGTGGTGAGGTGCTGGAACAGGCTCCCAGAGAAGGGGTGGAGGCACCATCCATGGAAGGCTTCAAAAAATAGGCAGACATGGAGCTTGGGGAGATGGTTTCATGCAGGGCTGAGGGTTGGACTTGATCATCTTGAAGGTCTTTTCCAACATTTATGATGCTAGGGGGGGGGTGGAGCAGCAGTGGGGAAGTGACCTTCACCTGCATGTTGAGGCGCCCACGTTGGGCACCCAGCCCATGGCGCAGCATGGAGGAGGCCAGGAGCTGGTCATCATCGATGCGGTGGGACTCCAGGCCGATGGGGGGACATCCTGGGGACAGTGGGGACAGGGCATGTTCACCACTGCCCTGCTTCTCCAGCCCTGCCTTCCTGGAATGGGGTCACTCACTTGTCTTCTCCTCTGGAGGGGCCCTTTCATCGTCATCTGGGTCCCCCTTCTTCCCTCCTGTTTTTCTGGGTTTTCCTGGAAAAGAGATTGAGTGAGGGGAGGAGCAGAGCCCAGGTGTGGGGGACAGGGTGCTGGTGGCACCCACCTTTGTGTTCCCGGCTCTTCTCCTCCACCCAAGGGTCTTCCTCCTCCTCCTTGCTGCTGCTGCCCTTCTTGGGCTTCCCTGGGGCAGGAGAGTGGATGGTGGGGAAGTGTCACCCACCCCAAGGATCCACCACCCACCCCAAGGATGTGCCACCCACCCTGGAGACATGCCCACCCTGAGGTCATTCCCCAACCCGTCTCTCACAGGGTTTGTGCTTCTCCTCATCCGTCTCCATCTCCTCGTCCTTGTCTGGGTGTTTGTGGGGCTTGGATGGGGGCGGGGGGCCGTGCAGCACTGAGGAGGCAAGGGGGGCAGGACACCCCTTTAGGGCAGGGTGGGAGAAGGGGGGGGCAGGACACCCCTTTGGGTTGAGGGGGTTGGGGAAGCAGCCGGTACTGCACTGGGAGGACAAGGTAGGGGACACAGCCATTTAGGGCCATGGGTGGGGTGATGGGGGTGCCAGAGCTCCCCCAGGCATGGGGGTCCTGGCCCCTCCCCAACCTGTCACTTACAGTCATCGTAGTCAGGTGGCTCAAAGCCCCCCTCGTAGTCGGCTTCAGTCACCAGGGGGGGTGGGGAGGGAGGCTGGGGTGGGGGCAGCTCCTTCTGTCTCGCTGGGGGGGAAACAAGGGCCTGGTTGGAGTCAGGGGAATGGGAATAGGGGTACCCCATGTCCCTGTGGGGTCCCTGAGCCCCTATGGAGTCCCCATGTCCCTCTGGTGTCCCATCCCCCCCCACAGGATCCCCATGTCCCTCTGGGGTCCCAATGTCCCTGATGCAGGACCTCCCTATATCCTCACAAGGTCCCCATGTACCTCTGGGGTCCCCATGTACCCCCCTACACCCCTCTGGCCTCTTGGGGTCCCCATGTCCCTGCAGGACCTCTCTATATCCCCACATGGTCCCAATGTCCCTCTGGAGTCCCAATGCCCCTCTTGGGGTCCCAATGTCCCTCTGGGGTTCCCATGTCCCTGCAGGACCTGCCTACATCCCTACAAGGTCCCCATGTCCCTCTGGGGTCTCCCTGCCCCATGGTCCCCCTACACCCCTCTGGTGTCCCCTCCACCCCTCCTGCAGTTCCCACAACTCTGTGCTGTCCCCCTGCCCACCCCAGCTCTGGGCTGTCCCCTTATGATGCTCCCATTGGTCCTCAAAGCTGGGGACCTTCCCACAACCCCCCCTCCAGTGCCACCCCTCCTTTGTCCCCCAACTGACGTGGCTCCTCCGGTTGGGGCCAGACCCTGGGGGGCTTTGTCCTGCTTGGGGGCTTGTGGGGTCTCTTCTGCCGCCGGATGTACTCGACTGGGGACAGAAAGAGGGGGTGGTCCGGGCTTTGGGGGTGCTGGGGGGACACCCCCCCCCTCCCTGCAGCAGGGGGTGCCCCCCAGGGCCAGCCCCCTGCCCCCAAGTACCGTACAGTCCTCGTAGTCCTCCCGCTCCAGCTGTTCGTTGTAGTCCAGGGTTGGTGGCTCTGGCTCCTCAGGGACCTCTGCAGGGGAGGGACAGGGCAGGGGCTAGAGAGGCGACATTGCAGTGCAGGGAGGTGTCCAAGGGGCGCAGGAAGGTGACGGGGTGCAGGGGTGTGGCATTCAGAAGCAGGGAGGTGGCCCTGGGACACAGGGAGGTGGCACCAGAGTGTAGGAAGGTGGCCCCAAGACGCAGGGAAGTGGCCCCGAGCACAGGACACTCACCAGGCTCCGGGTGCTCTCGGCCAAGCTCCCAGGGCTCGCTCGGTGGCTCTTTCAGCCCCCCTGGGGACAGGGACACAGAGTGAGGGGCTGGCGGTGCCCCACGGCACCCCCCCCAGGGTGGGGTTGACCCCGGCAGGACGCCCCGAGGGACAAAAACCCCTGCAGCCGTGGGGTGCCACTGGGGAAACGAGCAGCAAGACCAGCCCCAACAACCTGGGGAGATGGAACCCTCAAAAACTCACCTCGGCCACCCCCGTCTTCCCCCCCGTGGGGCGAGGGCTGCTCTGGGAACCAAGGGGTCCCCACGATGTCCTCTTCCTGCGGGGGCTCCGGGGGGCGTGTCGGGGACTCCGGTGGCTTCTTGCCGGGTTTTTTGGTGGCCTTGGGTGGCTTCTCCTTGGGTGGCTTCTCCTTGGGCTTCTTGGAGCCTTTGGCCGCTTTTTCGGAGCCTTTGGGGGCTTTTTCACGGGGCTTCTTTGGGGGCTTGTCCCTGCCCCTGTCCTTCTCCTTCCCCTTCTTGTCCTTCTCCTTCTTAGAGCCCCGGGGTCTTTCTTTGTCAGTCTTGGTGCCTTTGGGAGTTTTCTCCTTCTTCCCCTTCTTGCCCTTTTCTGGCTCCATCGGCCTCAGCGCTTCGGAGGAGCCTGGGGGGGCTGAAGAGAGCAGGAGGGTGAGGGGCGCCCGGGGGGTCCCCACCACCCCCTGCGTCCCCCGCTCACCGGTGCCAGCGCCCAGGTCTGTGCCGAAGCCCAGCTCGGTCCCATCCCCATCCCTGTCGCCGTCCCCGTCCCCCGGTCCGAGGAAGCACCGCAGAA